GTATAAATTGGAGTCTGATATGGAATTGGGGAGGATGTGTCTGTATGTGTGTTCGTATGTTGAATTACTTCTTGTTTATCCACGCAGCTTTTCAACCATGAATCTGACTAATTTTAAGTCCTAGAAGTTTAAGTTTTATTTTAATTTTAAATTTTATTAAAATAAAAGTTCCTGAAAAGTTAAATGTTCACAGTTAATGGATTAGTTTCATGATTTTAAATCAGGAATCTGTTATTGTCACATCTGTCTAAAAGAGTAAAAAGACTGATCTCTAAGATTATACTATCAAGGACCAAATGAATTTGTAAAGGTTATAATCCACAATCCTCATTTTTTTCAAAACAAAAGATAAGTTTTTGACCCGAAAGTAGAAAAAAATTTAGAGATCTTCTCATTTTTATCAATGCGATTACAAATGTTGCTCAAATATTGGCAGCATACTTTTATTTCATTGAAATTTGTTTAGTATTGCAAGAATGCAACAATATTTCAATCACTTCATTTATTTTATAATTTGTAATTTACTGTGAAAAACTTGTCACAAAATATTTCGATAGGAATGATAAATGATGTAATTCCATCGATCCAATCTCTTGGAATTCTTCAAGAAGCAAATTTTTTAAAGTTAAAATTAAGTCTTTTTGATTCTGATTTGTCAAAGTTTAAAAGTGAGAGATAAGCGCACTATATTCTACTTGTTCTTTGAATTTTTTAACTTTTCAAATTTTTTGCTCACTTTACATAGTGATGCACTGATTTCAACTTATCTCTATCAATTTTTCTATTTTAATGGTCCTATTATATTGTATTCTTTTGCGTGGTGAATACAAAAGCAAAATTTTTTAATCGATGTATTAAGGCCCTGTGAATGAGACTTTTGTATTTCATATTTCATTAAAAAATCATCATCAATCAGTAGCATTTTACTTGGTATTTTTCAAAATTTAGTCTTTCTTCTCGGTGTCTTATTGTTTCTGTTTGTAAGTCCTCTTCCAATATTCTCAAATTTCTGACAAAGCTCTAAAATTTAAGTTTAAATAAATTACAAACTAGTGTAACATCTTTAGTGAAATTTAGTTAATATATCATTGCAGTTCTATTAAACAATAAGAAACACTTCAATTTTTTATTCGAATTGTTATTGGTTATTGGTGAAAAGATTCAAACTGTTTTTATTTTCAGCTATTTTCAATTGTACGTAACTGCAGAAATACTTTGGTATCAATGGCAATCCGAGCCCAGTAAAGGTTGATTGCATGGGTGGCATCAATGTACCTACCTGTAGCAGTCCGAGCCCAGTACAGGTTGGTCGTATGAGTAGCATTTTCCTACTGCTACTGCCACTAGTATCAGCTAGTGAAGAGGAAACGCACGATCGATTCCTAGATGGATGCAGTTCTCATTGCACCAATAAATTCGATCAGGTTGGATTTTACCAAACCTTTTCGAACTCTTTTCACCCTTTCAACCACAATTTTTTCTTGCGCTTCTACATGAATACTACTGGAAGTGTAGTTACAGTGAATTATCTTTTTCTTTTCCGCTTTTTTCTCTACCAAACAAAAATGCTGAAAAGCAAGAAAATGGATTTCAGATTATTTGTGGGCTAATGAAATATGATAATGTAAAGAAGTATCACAAGTATTTTCAACTAGTTTTAAATAGTTTTTTTTTTTTTTTTTTTAGGATCTGTCGTGTTGGAACAAAACTGCAGAATTTTTTGGTAAAACACTTATGGGTGTATTTTTACGATATGTTACAACACAGGTTCATTTATTTGTTTTATTAAACACTGCTTAAAATATATTACTAAACACCGCTCAGTAACATACTTCGACAGCAACGAAATGATAATAATAAAATAGTTTGAACCAGTAAATTGGATATTAGTTAATAGATCATATAAGTTGGTCTATCTTCTTCAGATGTTCTTCAATAAAAATCTGAAATAAATGAAAATACTATGTATTTATAAAGGATCTCCAAGAATCTTAGAAAACATAAAATATTGAGACAAAATGCAGTAGCACGTAATTAAGATTGGTCTGGTTATTTTCTACTCATCCTTTTTATTCTGCTTAATTACCCAGGTTTAATGGTTTTAATTTAAGGCAAATATTTTAATTGCAACAAAGGAACATCACGGAAAGTTGCCAACCCCTGACGAAATAGCAAAAGTAAGTTTTAATGTTGCGAATTAAATGACCATATTTTTCAATCCTGCATAACCTATTATTTCATGCAAGCTTTTCTCCCCGACCGATCCATTTCATTATCCTTAACTTGTCTTTCCTCTAAAATTACCTATCAATGTCCACTCACTTCGTCACCTTTTTTTTAATTTTTAGAGAAGTCTCGACAGAATGACGAAGTATACGGAGTACTATCATTTTGATAATGATAGTGGAATTCTGACGACAGGAATTATCAGTAAAACTGTAATGGCTTTTGTTGCTGCCTCTTTCGTAAGAACAATTTTTTTTTTCAACTATTGATAGTAGTCTTAGTGATGACACTTATAAATAAAAGTCAAATCATTTTAAACGTTACTATTCAACTAAAATTTTTGGGTACTAATTAATATCCAATAATTTTCTCGCAGTTAGCTTTATCGAAGGAACAGTAAACGTGTTAAATTAGCAGGGACAATAAAGCTGTAAAGGTTCGGTTGGTAGTAAAAAAAAAATGGTGCTAGCACAAAGTGGTGCTATGCTATTTTCTATAGAACTGAAGAAAAAAGTTAATTTTCCGTAATCTAATTAATTTTTAAGTAATTATGAAAATGAAATTATCAGAATTACCGTAAGTAATCCTACCTAATAGTAATCTTACCTACATTTCGAGCATGCGACAAATTGATTGAAAATGCAGTAAAGGGAATCATGGAATGATGTTTAGTAGCGATAATAATGTAGCGAATGATACAAATACCTAAATCCATCCATCTTATCATGTTTAGCTGTATTTAAATTTGAATTTAGCTTTGTACTACAAGTTGAGTATATTCAAATTGTAAAGCTAACTACCTCATAATAAATTACTTTGAAACTGATTTTCAGGAAACGCTTCAAACTGGAAAACAACCAACTTTGTTGCCATGTCCGAAAGGCTGTGAAAGGCCATCAAATTTTTGGTTATCATGGAGTTTCATATCTTTGTCGGTTTCTGGCATTCTAACTGCTATCATAATAATTAAAACGTTAGAAAAAGATCGCATGGATCGCAAACATGTCTTAGCTGAAGGAACGATCAAAAGTGATGGGCGCAAAACGAACTGAATTTTAATTGAATTTTTTTTGCTTTAGGTTACGCTATCAACTTCCGTTTTTGAAATGATCACATATTGCAGAGAAAAATATGAAGCATTTTGTAACTTTAAGCAATTTTTATTTTCAACTGTTAGAATGATTTTAAGTGGTTTTAAATGTCTTCGTTGGTATTAAAAGTTGTAACAATATCTAAAAGAAAAAATCAAATAAATGACTTTGTTTCAAGAGGATAAACAGATCTGGATAGAAAGAAAGAGTTTTAAGTTAATCTTATAAGCTTTAACCATTGCACATTCCTTAATATAAATGCATTTTCATCAATAAATTCCCTGGTTTTCTACCTTTTACTTTGTACTTACTTAATTTCCTTTATAATTGTTAGATTAAATTTCAGTTTCATTCTTTTAAGCTATTGTTTTCTATTGATTTCGCGTCTTTTTGTGTCGTTTTTATCTTTTTCTTTTTAGTTAGTTCCTCCCTTTCAATAGTTAGAACTGTTTAATGAATGCTTGTTTATTCTATATGTTTCAAAATCTAAGTTATAATAACTTGTTTAAAAGAAGAAGTAAGTAAAATGTTATATTTTGATTTTCTACCTGAAGAATAAAGGAATGAACACAACTTCTCATGACTTAGAAAATTCAACAATGTCGGATGGTTCACTTCATATATGTTAGCAGGCTCACTGTCCCATTTTCAAAATTTTGCCAAGCAGAACATTTTGCGGTACTGCTATGCACTATTTTTTTTTTAACAAACTCTTTCAAAATAACCTCTTTTTATAAAACGTCAATAAAGGATGCAGTACAAATCGTCCTTTTTTTCAAAATAAATTCTCTCCAAAACTAAAATGCGGAAAAACAACAGAATTCATAGTCTTCTAGAAATGTAGCCTGAACTATTCAGCCAGTTTTTTCAAATCATTTTTTCAGAAAAGGATTGAGATTTAACACTAATTTATATTTTATATTAAGCATGATCATAAAATCTCATACATTTATTTAGAAAACGACCAAAAACTCAACTGAACAAATTTAGCATTTAAGCGGATTGTTTCTTGTAAAAATAAATTCAAAACATTGCTTACTCTAATTTTGATCTGAAAATTTTTTGTACCTCGAAAACTTACAACTCGGTTTTTCGAGAAATGTTTGCCACATATTTTTGTAATTTGACAAGCACCTTGCATTTTCCAAATTTATTCGAGTCCAGTTTCTGATAAGAAAATATTTCGATACTTGAATGAACTGATAAAATGCTGTTATCAAAGAATCAGGTATACAATACAATATGTGTAGGAAATGATTGTTATTTACAAACATTTGTCGACTACAGATATGCCATATTTCATCTGGCAAACCATATTTACAGGTACTTCAAATTTTGATGTCTTTAATACGAATTATGTTTGATCCCAAAAAAAAAGAATATATTAGAGTATGAGTTGTCAAGTAACATTGAAATCATTGTTACAAAATTAATAGTAGCATTCTTTGGTAGATTAGAAAATCAGAGATTATTTTTAGAGAATTATCCCATGTCTTTAATTCGACGTATGAGAGTGAATGATCTGCCTCAGAAGTTCATTAGATCATAAAAACAAGAAAATTTTTTTTATTGTCATAAAAGATCAAACTTTTGGGCTACCATCCTTGCCTCAATTTTGAGTCTAATATTTGATTTTGCTAACAAACTACAGCTCTAAGCCTTGTGAGGGTTTGCGCCAATGATATGGACACATACGGACGCGAATTTGTTTTTGTATATCCGCCGAATAATAGTGGATCTATCGGGATGGAAGCTACATTAAGTATTATCAATCCGAACACAAAGCAAAGTGCAAATGTCATCGTTGAATATCCTGAATTTGATACTAATGGTGATAATATTACAACAACACGACATACCGCAAGTTTGGTTGTCAAAGTACTCAGCAGTGTCCTGGTACTTTCTTTTTTCGTTATTCCTGCAATTCAAACATACGCAAGTGAACGTCAGATCTGCGTAGTCCTCTTCAAAGTTTTTTTATCGATGTGCGATATGTAGTACCCATAGTTAATTCTGACAGTGTACCCTTTATCACCGGTAAAAAAATAGTATATTTTGGAATTCCTAAAAGATTCCGGGCACAATTTCTTCTGAGTTTTTCCGTTCTCCCACCCAAGACGATTTTTCCGAAGAATTAGTCTCTGACTAAAATAAAGCTTTAATTTTATAGATAAAAGTATTTTTTTGAAATCTAAAGTGAAATCGCACTAGTTAAAATGACATTCGGCTATACGAAAATATCCAAATAAATTTGTCCAGCTTCAAGTGTTTTTCAACTATTCTTCAATTCCAGTCGGTTTTTCAGTTCAAATTTAATGAGTCAGTGATTTTGAATAACATCAATGATGGTTTGCATTCATACGTAGATGCCCGAATTGTTGTCCACTCCACCATTCTAATCACTCTTATAGCACATAATGTAGATATCAGTGGTGCACGCGACAGCTTCCTTGGTTTTTTTTTCTCCATTATTTCATTAAATAATTATAATAACTATGAGCGTATAATATGTTTCAAAATCAAACTAAAATTCTTTAAGAGTTGCTATTTGAAATTTTAACGAAACATTTCGCGAAATATTTCTCATTTTTCAACTTTTATTCGAATTAATTCGTATTAAAATTAAACTTTCCGAGTGATTTTAGTGTTACCAATATCAATGGCTGGAAATCATTATGCATTTACACTTCCACCATCATCAGCGTTAGGTTCAACGATTGTTTATTTTCTGCCAGTGAAAGCTGAACATAATCAGTATGTTACAATTAATTCGATTCGCAGCACATCCACTTGTTCTTGCAAACATACTGTACAAGTTTGTTTTCTTTCACTGCTTTTTAACAAATTCATTTATATGTGCAATCGGTAATGTTAAAAGGATTCTATTATGCAGTAAATTTACATATTTTGTCCTCACCTTCAATTTTCCATATCATGGGAAACTATATTACAGGTAGGTGAAATGTTGGCATTCAGTTCATCAGAGGAAAGTATAACTTTATGGGCACATAGTAACTTCACATTCGTTATTGTTGCCGCTGTACGTAGACTGCCAACAGCAAAAGGATCAAATGTATTCGATTTCGGATGCTTTATGCCAAGCTCAGTACCAATAACGGGTTTGTTGAATTTATTATTTGAAATGTATTTCTCAACTCTTTATAAGATCCGACCAACTAGTACGTACTAGTTCTATAAATAAAAAACTAATTTGTAGCTAATTGCAATTCCAGAAACAAATCGTTTTTCTCTAAAGGGAAAGATTAAACACTGTATTATAGGCTGCGATAAGTTAAAAGATAACTACGTAATGCCACTGCTTACTGGGAAACATCACTTGCTTACACCGCTATCCGTAGAATGCAAATCAGTGGAAATTTCAATTCATGGTTCGAATAAAATTGTGAAGACAAAGCGCCTGATATCCACTTTTCCTGAAGCAACCAATTCTATAGTACTTGATGAATATGGAAATACGGCCGCAATAAGTACTACGTATGAATTTGCAGTGTTTAGATAATGTGGTTTTCACGCATTCCAATGAAATAAATCACTTGTGATATATATTTTTACCACTTTTTACCGGAAAATATCAGTTCCTTGAATACGAAAGAAGAAAAGAAGAAAAAAGAAATAAAATTAGTACATTGTGACATAATCATTGCTAAGTTTGATAAATCTGAAAAAAAGTTTTCAGAACAGTGTTAAATGTGATTCGTTATGGTGGATACAATGTTGGGACACTAAATTATGAGGAAGGTGGATACCTAGATGAAGTACCAGCCATTTCACAATTCATTTCCGGAATGATTCCGGTTATTATACCCAGCGACAGCAATCAAGTTACTGTAAATCTTTTCAATATATTGTAATTGTAACAATTACAAGAATTAATCGATATATTACAAAAAATGAATATTCCCTGCATTTTGATGCTACCTAGATTTTTTACGTGATGCAAGTATACAAATGAAGTATGCAGTATGCGACATGATAATCTAACAATCCTTTTTTCTCCTCCTAATTCATTTTACAATGATAGTGCTAAAAGAAATATTCTTTCAGGTGATAGCAGACTATAAAGCAATGTCAAGTGCTTTCTTTGATAGTGAGATTAGCTTATCATTTGCTGCACTACCATTTTTAAATGGTTCACTATATTATTCATCCGGCACTGTATCCCCCGGTTTTCACTTCTTCTATGCCGATGGTCTGTATATTATTTTTATTAGCGGTCGCATGAATAACAGCGCTTATGGATTTGTCCCGGCTTTCAACAGTAAATTTTTATCACTTGATTTGATCAATGTGTCTATAATAGCTGTAACAATTGCATATTAACACTAATAGAAACTTAGCACAAATGGTTTTTTTTTTTTTAATCTGTTTATTCTCTTAACTTTACATTTTCTTTTCTATCTCTGAGATGATTCTAAGAATTTTATTTGCAGGTCGAAAAGTTGTCAAGATAGATTCTATTACACGTGAGTCATCTGGACTTTCATTATTTTGCTAATTAGTACTGGAAACTAATTTATCGCTTCTGTTTGCTTCAGCTTCTTCTGCAGAATTTTTGGATGGAACGACTACGACTAAGAAACAAACATTGGTAACTTCAGCAGTGAGAGAACTTATTTCAAATGATAATATCTCCACAAGAAATCATACGTCGTACACCCGCTGTGCCTATGGTAGATCTAAAAGTTTATCAAGCGAAAGATTTCTAATAAAGGCCTCTTCTCCATCCATTTCTATTGAATTGTCTTTCTTTATTTTGCTCATTTGTATATTTCATATCTTCATCGCATGAATGTAAATGTTGCAGCATCACTGAAGTCTGAAGCAAACAGCACAATTTCTTTGTAATAAATATTCAAAATTAAGATTTACATGTTTTTTTTTAAAAGCATTTCTATACTTCAGAAATGGTAGAAAGATTTCCGAAGCATTTTTACACGATGAAGTAAAAATTCTTTAGGAACATCAAAGAGAACAAAATTCTCTGATAACCTCAATGTGGCTTTCTCCAAATGCTTATGTCAGTGTTTAATGCTTAGTCAATAATAAATTCTAGATCCTTTATTAGTCGCTATCCGATTCTATCTCAGTTTATTATTTCAAGTCATTAGATAATACTAACAAATTTAATGCTGAGTTTTTAACTTATTTTTTTTTATTTTTTCTTAACTTTTAGTTTAATTTTCAATTAGGCAGTAAATTAAAACATTTAACTATATTGAAAATATTATGCTTTTTTTTTACGGTGGATAAACGTATGTAGTTTTTTCAGTTGTTATAGATAATGTAATCAAAGAATTCTGGCCTTCTCCTACCATAATTATTTGGAATATTAACGTACTCATAAATATTTATGAGTAATACATCCGGTTGGCAAGGTTAAAATTACTGCTTTAACATCTTGAACAGAGTTTCACACTGTATTCAAATACAAACAAACAATCGGAATCAAAAAAACAAAAAAAAAAAAAAAAAAATGAACTCTGTTTGTTACTCATTGCAGATTATGTTATTTAAAGGTACAGAGATTAGCAACGTTCTCCCTTTAGCTGATGAAATGAATTCACGCTATTTACAACTGGTAACACACAGGCGATTAAGACATTTTCGCTTTCAGGTAGCATTGAAAAAATTAGTAGTGGTTTCATTCATTTATATTTTTTTCAGAAATGAAACAGCTCAACCGCTTACTTAAAGAAATAGCTAAAAGTGGATGGAAAGTAATGTATTAATAATAGATTAGTAAGCATTCTGATAAAAACAGTGGTGAATGTCGACCTAAAATCCACATATGCAAATCATTATTCTTTGCAAAAAGCACTGATCATGAATTTGATGGAATTACTGTCTCATCAAGAGAAGAAGTCGAAGGTGTAAACTTACTTATTTTGTTAAAATTAATAGAGAACTTACTCCACCTTCGTATTGCTAATTCATTCACTTCACTGATGTGATAATATGACATTCTGTCAAATTCTCATTTATAAAGAAAACGTTCAATTTGTCGCATTATTTTTACAACTAAAATTGGACATTAAAGATAAGTACTCGTTATAATTTCTATTATTTATCGTACGTACTCATTGACAGCTGTTATCAACATGTCTCGGACAACAACTCTAATATTCTAATATAAATTAACTCTAATAACAGAAATTAAATTTTCCCTTGGAAAAAGAAATGAAGTAACTAATAACTACGTTAACCTCACATTTCTAATATCTATAAAAACATCAAATTCAGCCAAAGCGGCAACTTAAAGTGATTCTTAAGTGAATTTATAAATTATAATAACTTTTCTTTAAACTATGGAATGGTTCAAAAAGGATTTTTGCATATACATGTGCGGCAGAGAGATATTGTATATATAAAATAGGACATGGGAAGAATATAAATAAGGCTAGTTTACTTGCTGAGTACAGTGCATGCGTTACAGATATGATTGCTAGTATTATATCATCTTTCTATCACTGGTAATTCTTGATCTTTTCAAATGAATTTAACCGCTATTTGAGCATCTCTTCGGTTTATCATATGCTGAAATACAACCAAACCACATTGTTTTTGATCCCAAATTTGTGAACCAAATATTATGAGAGCCCGACCTATAAATAATTTTGCTGCATTAAAATTAAAAACATTCTGAACATCAAAAAATATATTATAGCGCTACTGAAAACTCTAAGTTTTTGAAACTTTTCAACAAACCCAGAAGTTTATTAAAACTTCTTTATAAAAAATCATTCGGAAATTTTTCTTTTTTGTTAGTTTATTAATTTTGATTTTTTTTTTTTTTTTTGAAAATTTACCAAACACTTCAAAATTTATGATTTTAACTTGTTCAATTTAAAGTACCTTAGATACTTTCACTTTCATTTAGGATCCATTCAATCTTTCTGATTCATTATTAAAATATACAGACAAATAAAAGTCGCAACCACCAGTACAATAAATCCGAAAATTGTTAGTTTCGAGTAGCTAATTTAAGTTATATGTAGTTGATGATTGAATTATCGAACTTTATTTCGCATGGTTGTGTAAGAAGCCATTTATAGAATCAGTCGAAAACATCTTTTGACAATGAATTATCTCTTGCGATTATCATTACTAAAAGAGTCTTATCTTACCTGCATGCAAATACATAAATAATATTAGCAAATGCGAGCAAATATTCGTGATCGACAGTAAAATCCCTCGCATAGTATATGTAAGCAAAGGCATTGATATTACAGCAAGCGAAATTGCAGCAATATTAAGCAGAGTAAAGTGGAAGCAGAACATAGTAAATTCAACAAACTTCAGGCTCGATTGTCATTAAATTACCTCACTACTGGCTCTGATGATAATATGCTATGAAAAATTGGCACAAATTTTTGCTGACCGATTTACAAAGTGAGTTTGTCGAGCAACGACCTTATCGTCACAACCACTGTATAAATCGTGCCCTTCCTTCATCGTTCCAACTGATAGAAATTTCGTTTTATTAAATTACCTTTTTTAAAAAGTGTTTCAATTTTCAAGCTTCGGGAAAAATTATCCACTTTCTGCTTTGCCTTTTTAAACAATCATAATAATCAGAGTTCGGTAAGCAGGAATTTGTGTAAACACATTTTTTTTGGGCATGTTGCATGTGTGAAACTAATTCTACCCTTAAATTTCTGTTTTGCTCTTTTGAATTCACTTTCGATTTTGTTATTAATAAAAAGAGGTCTAAAATAACTTTGAATTAAAAGTCCTTCTTTAAATATATGAAAAGCAATTATGCAGGCAGTAATGGATGGATGGCTGAAGTTCAATCCCTTCAGTTGCGCAATTCTAGAAATGATCATCGCTGATCCTAAGATGATAACAGTCAACGAATATTTATTGCAAAAACTGAATCAAGTAGAAAAAAATAGGGGTTGAGCTGGTACCTCTTATTTACACATTTCGATTAATTCAAAAAAAGTTACATATCATTTTTTTATTTAACCCTATATTTGGATGGAATGAAATCGCTTTCTGGAGATCAGTAATTGCCTTACTTATTTGACTGACCAATAAGCTTCTATTTTGCTGCGGCAATAAAAACTAGTAAAATGTTTTTACTTGGCACATTCAAGTGATGTTCAATTTTATTACCTTAAAGTTTTAAGAAAAATGCCTATAATTTGAAATTCTAACTCTTCCTTATTATTAATGTTAGAAATTATATAAGTGTCCGGAATTGAATCTTTTGTAAGAAAATAATTTGACAGTGAGTTTGCGAGAGCACCTTTATCATCACTATTAATCTTTCCATTTCTCTTTTCTTTTTTTCTTTTCCATATCTCCTTTCACGAGATTTACGCAATCCAAGGATGGCCTTAACTGATGAAGGAACAAAACACAGTATAATAAAAAATTTGCGGCTCTTCTTTCTTGATTCATATCTCACTGAAAAATTAGATTTTTCCACGACTAAGATTAATCAATTTTTCATGGTACAAAGTCATAAAGATTATTTTTTCTTAAGAAATTTTAAACTGCTTAGATATTTCAATTCCAGGAAATCATTCTTTATACTAAAGAGAAGATATGAACAAGTACTCATTATAATAAACGCATATGTATAATTTGACCACTGAGGATGCAAAAAACTGAGAGGAACTGACTGACTGATAGGATTCAGATTGAATGAACTTTGTGAGATAGTTGAAAGCCAATGAAGGCCTTTTCCAAAATGCATAATTTTTTGCCTCTTGTATGTACTATATTCATTTTTATTAAAAATTCATTTATTGATTCTTTTTTTGTTCACACTTAACTCTTCGTAACAATACAGGAATTCATCTCTTGTCAACCATTCAACAAATGAATTATAACATCTGTTAAATGATGATGCAAGAAGAAACATATGAATAACTTTCACTCCCGTCCAGTTATGAAATTAAGAACCCACATACGAAAAGAAGATAGCTCTTTGCTAAACTAAAATTGGAATTTATAAGCTGAAAAATCAACTAAAGTTTAACTTACTCTTTAAATCTATTAAAATAGTTTTAGGTTTCTTACAAAAATCCAATTTTAAAAGCTTTTGACCTTATAAATGATATTTCAAACAATGCACTGAGAAATGAAAGAAAAAAACTCGATTTTGAAAAAAGACCAGAGAATACACAAGAAATAAAAATGAGAGACGATCCGTTGGTCATTCGAACAGTAACCATCACTTCACAATACCACTGTCAGCACGGCTGCTTAATTTTAAAATGGTTTCAATTAATTTTTGAAGTTATTCCAAGTATTTGTGAAAGAGGACAGAAATGTAAATCACAGACTTCTAATGAGATTTCTCTATGACGAGGAGAAAATGAAGTAAAATAATGCAACAGTTTTAAATAATGACTCCAAAAGTATTTTTAGTAATACACTAAATCAACACGCAGAATAAATAAGTGAATTAATAATAATTTCGTGTATTCGATCATATGCATCATTTGCTGCCAAAAAACAAAAGTGGCTAAAACATAGCCATAAAGCAAATAAAATAAGGTTGAACATTGACTTGATAATTGGATATTTATAGTAAGAGGAATTCTATTCAGTAGTAAAGGAATTTTTAACGATGCAGGATAATGACAATTTCATCTAAAATTTATCTTAAAATCAGTAGTGCTCACTTAAGCAGGTAGCAATTTAATATGGGGACATGAAACTTACTAGACTCTGACTACCAGTAATATTAATTCATGCCGACTTAATTAATTGATTAATTAAGATTAATTAAAACTACTGGATTCAAAGAATCAAATTGATAATCACATGAAGATGGAAGTCATTAAGAAGGAAAATATGATTGGGATGCAAGGAAACGTTGTTCCATACAAATGAACGGTATAAATGATTAGTAAGCAAATATTTGAAGTTATAAGAGATTTCGTATGACGGAACCTATACCAAAGACAATGTGTTACGGAAGTTAAGTTGATATCGTCGAGTTGCTGATCATGCAGTGACTGAACTGAAGGCCGGAAAAAGGAAAGTTGGACGATAGCCGTGAAGGTTAGTGAAACCTTGGCCTCGATATATACAGACACATGTAGCTTTGCCTATCTACTCCTCGTCTTTTCGAGGTCGAAAGTTTGTCCCCCATTCCAACTTCGACCCCAACCCAATCTTCCTTTCTCTTCGTTTATCAAGGTCAAGAAATTTACGGCTCAATCAAGGTTGTATTTGTTTTAAAAGTCCATTACCTATATTTGCATAAAATTTTTTCACTCTTCTTTCTTTATTTTATCTTTGCATTGCATTTTTAATATTAAAGATTTCCACCACTTTATTCCTAGCAGTTTTATAACTTTTTTAAAAAGTTAACCACTTTTTCTTGCAATTTTCATATCTGAAATAAGTTCTCTCAATTGATATATGATCCAAGGGCTGCTATACATTTCCTGCAAAAACCTTTTCTCACTCAGTAACAAAATTTTGGTTGCTATTATTGAAGGCCATGAATCTGTTCCGTTCGGGAACGCTCGGATGAAATTGTCATTCATATTTCGTCGTCATTGTTGTCTCCATCAGTGTCATCAAACACTAACTGTCCTACTCTTTCAGGTAGAAATCGACGAAGGCCTTGACCCCGAGATATTTGGGACATGGTGACAGTGACAGTTCACTACCACAAGCGAGAGCAACCCATCACTCTTTCCATCTTCTCCTACCCTACGTAATTCTCCGACGAGTTTATTACTATCATTACTAGTTCCTCTTCCTTTTCCTTTTCTTTCGCTACTCATCCATCTTTTCAGCTACCTGCACACATCTGTCTACCTATCTACTGACAAAAGCTGATCGCTAAAGCTATAAGTGTTGAAAGTTTTGATCGAAATAGATGACATTAATGTGCTCACTCATACGCACCAAACATTTGTATGCATGTGTTTATGCATTTCTCTTTCCTTGCAATTTGATCTCCAGTGGATGAAAAGAATTCTCGACGATGGCAGTGCTGATGCTACCTGGTGATTGCAATTGTCCCAGGGCCACTTAACCAGCTCTTCTCTTTTCAAGCAGAACTGTCACAACCGGTGACATTTCTGTTCACCAATACGGTGGTCTCTGAGTTGCATTACCGCTTCGTCCCAACCCACCTCCACCCCTTCCTACTTGTCTGTTAATTGCAAGAAGGCATGGATGAGCAATAGTGATGTAGCAGCTTAAGTGAAGGAGGTGCATGTGTCAGGTCCGGTATGTACTTTTGTTTGTCTCTGTGTGCGCGTTCGCTAGTTGCTTGATACGACGGCATGCATCAAGTACCACCCACTTTTGCAGGATGATGAGTCGTTGCATGTGATGCGATTTGTTGCTAGCTGCTGGTTCGACTTCCTGGATACCTCAGATTTCGTTCATTCAGCGACGTTCTTCGACTCTCGTGATAATAATTCCGTGAAATGCTTTGCTGGCTTACCAGTCCATACTGCAATTGCTTTCACTACTCGATGTGGTTGCTTGCAATAATAGCAGCTCACCTGTCATAAAAATACAGGCCGCTGTCTACTACAACCTTCATTGTATGTGCATATTTGTCTGTTAGTAGCAAGGTCAACACAAAATCAGAAGAGTGACAACGAAGGCCGGAGCGCCGAGCGAATCATCGGCAACGATTGCCATCATGGTTGGCATTGAAACGGCCTTGAAGCTGGACGATCTGAACTGTAAGCCGCAAATCGAGTACGAAAACTGCCCGGTTTGTGGGGATCGCGTGTCCGGGTACCATTACGGACTGCTTACCTGCGAATCATGCAAGGTTCGCGTAATAGTTTAAAATTTCTCCAAATGAATTTATGCTACCATAATCATTTCATGAATTGTTCTATTGCTATTATACGATTACAACATAGACTTAGATGATTGTTCCAAAAAACTTAGTTAAGCTATAGCACCCTTCCTCTTTTTCCAAGTAGCACTAGCTTAATGAAACATATTCACTGTCTGTTCTCAATTCTTTCATAATACCGTAGTCGAATTCAAAACCATCTGACAACAGCATGTGTAGAAGCAACAATGCTTCTTTTCAACCAATCGTTAATCAGCAAGCCCTATTTCTATGCTCTTTCGAAATTGTTATCCTTATAATGTGATAGTGTTATTATATGAAATTTTATTTTTTGTATATTACTTGAAATATTTCGAACTTTCTCACATTTCTGAAATGTAAAACAAAGTTACATCATAAAACTATTTTTACGCATAATTCAGTAGCGACATAATCACTTTAGGTGTGCTTTTAAAATTTCCCATCGAATTCTTTCAAATTTCACTACATTGGAGTTGAATTATTTTTCAGATTTTTGCTTCTTTGCATTATTTTTGGTGGGCTATGGAAAATCATTTTATTATCAGTAACATTTACTTGCAAGACTATTCTGCAGAAGACTATTCATCTATCAATCATTTTGTTTCAAATAATTTTTAAAAAAGTCCGTTTCGTCAGAAATCGCTCTTCATTTAAAGCATCATTTGCTTTGTTGTCTTTACTACAAGAAGTTGACACTGCTAAATATTTTAGTATTCGAAGTATTTCATGCCTAAAATTCCAGATTTTTGTTCGTTGCATATATGATTAAATAAGACTTTAATTTTCAGGGCTTCTTTAAGCGAACAGTACAAAACAAAAAGGTTTGTTTTCATTCATTTTTCAAAATTATTTAACATTAAAGTTAAAAAAATCTTTTTTTGCCAAGAATTCGATTTTACTTATATCAATGGTGAGCGGGTCAGAACTGCGCAGTAGATAAAACTAGCAAATTTACAACAAAAGAAAATTTATTTCATCCTTTGTGCTTCCAGATGAAAATCTTATAAATTATTTATATAAAACAACTATTCACTTTACATGTAATCATCATAATGATTTATTTTTTCAATTTGAAAAATATTTGTTGTGTATGTGATTATCAAACTCTGCTGTCGAATTATGTTTATAATTACAGAAATTTCGAAATGTCTAATTTCCAAGCATAGATTGTCAAAAATTTTATTTCAGTCATATCAATGTTCAGCAGATCAGAATTGCGCAGTAGACAAATCATGTCGAAAACGATGTCCACATTGTCGATTCCAAAAATGTATACAACGTGGGATGAAGGTTGAAGGTTAGTAATCAGCTAAATAGAGCACTTTTCAAAATTTTCCTTCATGTTTTCTTAGCTTAAACTTCATGATTATATAGGTGCAGAGTTATTCAACAAATTTATCGAGTTTTGATCGCATTTTTCACCTTTCAATTTTAAGAATTGAATGAAAGTTTGAAAATATTGCTTTAATTCAATTAATCGAGCAAAACTTTTGAGTTTCTATTTCGATGTAATTCCATGCAATACTTTTTGAGCTATATTATTTAGAAATTCTGTAATGAATGTAATGACGGGTAGATGAAAAAATTATTTTTACTCCTGGGCACATATTGGACCATCGAATTACACTTTCCTTATAATATTTTTCATTGAATGGATTTACTCCTTCCAAGGATCATTTTCATTTCTTAAAAAGAACGAAATAGTAGGTTGTTGAATTAACGAAGCATTTTCTTTTCATGCGGTATAATATTCTTTCTCTGCTTATCGCAATAATGACTAATGTATACCGTACCGTTTGTATCTTGTAGATGTATGTGTATGACAACTTTTTGTTTACACACTTCAGAGTTCAGCGCATTCCAATTGTATTACCGTAATATGGTGGGAAATATCACTGCGTACATTATCTTTACAGGAATTGGGGAACTTTAGACATTATCACTTAGCTCTCAAATTATTGAAATGAACTAAGGTAATTGCAATGTAATCAAAAATTTGTCATTTCTAAGCTGACCTAAGATGTGCTCTACAGACAAGAAAGAAAACATAAAATTGAATCAAATAATCGTCTTATATATTTCTTGCTAAAGTGAGTGATACAGTTGAAAAAGTCACCCACAATTTTTGATCGCTATATTACTCTTAAAGCGGCTTCTAAAAAGACTGGGAATTAAATTTCTTCTTAATTATTGCCAGCTGTTTGATTTTTCTCTTCCTTATTGATAACAATATCATTGAAGAATTTCTTATATCAAATTCATTTTACACCAGTAGATGTTGACGGAATTTTTCCCCAAATCAATTAGACACATAAATTAATCCAGTTTTCCATTTTCACCTTTATCCAACCGTTATGATCCAATCATGTCAATGTCATCTTAGGATTGCCGTTTATCATACTCCTGTAAAAATTTCAATTCTATTTATACTCATTTTTTGAGAGGCGGCACTGTAAGATATGAACTGGTTAGTGGTTGCAAATAGTGCAATCAAAAATTCGTCCATCAATTTGAAACTGGAAGTATTCGAATAGAACTTAGGAGTAACACAAAGAACGTGAAACTGAGGAGTGGAAATGATTGGCGCGCGCGCCTTTTTTCTGAATCAAGTCGAAATCTCTGCCTCATATTAAACAAGGAATTTATCTATTCAAAACATTCAAATCACTAATTTTTAAAAATTTAAATAGCTGTAGTAAGCAATGACTTAACAAGCAAGCATGTTCTTCATTTCCTCTTTGTCTTTAAGAAAGGTTAAGACAAAAGAAACTACAGCTAAGATATTTTCAAAAAAATAAAATATAGCTTGATACACTTATTGCTTCAAATTTTTGTTTGAAAGACTTAAAAGGAATGACTATGAGAAATTTTGTCATCTTTATTCAAAAAGACTATTTAAGAATATGGGCAAAAAATAAAAATTATAACTTTGAGTTCTCAAAACTTACAAACTCATAGCTTCAAATTTTTTGACTTAGAAAATTTCGGAATTAACAGCAGTGTTCAAAACTTTGTTTTAGTGATTCAATCAATTCAAATCCTTCAGAAAGTTTATGGCTGAAAACAGCGGCTCGATGAATATAATGGTTACTAGCAGGCTGGCTGGATAATAATGACCGGTTTTTTGTGCACACACATGTATTTCGAAAATGAAATTGTCGCTATCGACAGTAGGGGGTGGTGGGCGCTAGGTACCCTCTTCCTCAGTATAAGAATGTTTGAATAATATAGAAGAGGGGGACACAAAAAGTGTTTCAAAAAATGCGATCCATGGCATGGATGATACTCCTCTACCCACATCACACAACGTACACTTTTACTTCACAAGCACAGACACTATGATCGATTTTGAAAAGTTTTAAATGATTTCCACTCCACTGCCATCATTCTTTACAAAAGAAACCAATAAAGGTTAAAAAAACGAAAGGGAAAAAAGTTGAAACACGATGAAGAGATTTTACTAATAAATATGATACGAAATTCTCAACTCACAGATATTTCATCTGTTAGATAAGCTGGTGGCCTCAAATAAACCCAAAAGAACTATGACCTTATGATCATCTAAATCGGTTGTGAAAATAATGATAACATAAGTAGCATTGAAACCTTTGCAAATTAAATCACATGCAGTGCAATTATGAAAGAACTGAAAAGTAAGGACCACCACATCTAATATTCAGAAGTTCATCAAAATATGATTCTCGAATATTGTTAATTAAATTCTAGCTGACAAGTTTACATATTCACCCAGTAATAAAACTCGAATTATCGAATTAATCAGTTATTTTTTTGTATATTTATAGAATTATAAAGTCTTGTCGAAACTGTATTAGCTCTATAAGGATTTAAGGAACATCATGTATGTAATACATTCATTTAGATATTCATGTTGCATATATATTTGTTTCTATCTAAAATAAATATTTTTCGTACTGCTTTTTGAAGCAGTACATTTTTCGGCTCTTCATTTGCTGTTTCAAACTTTGTCTTTTTTTTGATTTCCGAAAACGAATTTTTTACGGATATGATACATGGAATTTTAGAATATTGGGAAATTCATGGAATAAAACTTCAATCTCGTGTTATCTAATTAGTTCTGAGTATTAAATTTAAAAAAAAAAAAAAAACACCACTCTTTCTCTCTCTCACCTCTTATTATCAATCAATCCTTCACCCTACTTTAGGCCACACTGATTAATGCATCATTTCTATAATGCAAAACATAGTATGTAACAATGGTTTCCTTTTCTAATAGTCATACCTTTCTCCCTACAGACTCTCTTAATTTGCATAATCCATCACTCGCTGTACTTACCGTGTCCTTTTTATTGTTCGGTCAAATTTATTTATTTTTATTATTATTTTTGTAATAATATTGAAACTGTAGGATCCCGAAGAGATTCATTTCATTGTTCCTTTTTTTTTTAACCCAAAACTCATGAATTTTTCATGTCTAATAGGTTTTCAGTGATGACATCCAAACTGTTAGTAATAATGGGTAATTAACCGTAGTAAGGGTATCATTTTTTTCTGGAGGGAAGTGGTTTTTTCCGGAAAAAATAATTTTATTTTTTTTGACAATTTTTCTCCTTGCTTTCTTCCTTTTCACAGAAATTGCCAGTTTCGCTCGATTCATTTCTCTTTTTTTTCTTTTGCAATCGGGGAAAAATAGAAATTATTTCGCTTTCCTCCTCACCCGACGTTCTTTGTAGCTGCTAATTCAGGGAGGGACTTTTTTCTCTCTCCTTTTTTCTATGAAAAGTGCCTTCTTGGGGAGGTTCGTTGACTGATTTTCAAGGAACAATGAAGAAACAAGTTTTTTAATCACACCTGAAGATTTTCATTATCGATTGAAAGGATGAGGGGTTATTTTTTATTGCATGACTGCTGTATGACGCATTACTTTAGTCTACCAAAATTTCGAATTTATATTAAGCCTGAGCTACAGTAAAAAAATATATATATGCATGTCTTTTTTATATATAAAATCAAATCTCAAATTTTATATCTTTTTTTATCAGTTACATAGATGCATTCTATCAAATTTCAAAATATATATATGCATAAGTGCAGAGCGCTATATGTCACACTTTCAAAAATGCTTTGAATGAACAAATGACTAACTATATAGTTAATTCACATTCACCTCTTAAATACACTAACTGCCATCTCTGGTTATCTCTTTTATTACTTGCAAAAAAGACCATTCTTAATAGATCTCTTGGCCAAGAAATGTCCTTTTAATTGCTGCTAATTGTTCCGCTGAACTGCAGGAAATTCATCATCATACGACAGTAGTAGAAACCTAACTCTTTCCTCACATAAAGGATGGAAAGAGTTTTGGGAAAAGAGATATAGAATAAAAAGATGGTCAACAAAATGCATGCGCTAATTACTGGAGCGAGAAATGAGTGCTAGTTCACTATGATCTGATCTCAAGGATAAGAGATGAGGGTAATTTATGGGGAGATGAATGCAAGGAAAGGTGGTCATAGAAAATTTGGATAGGAAAAGAGTTTTATGGAATAAATTAAAGGGATCTGGTTGTATAGCTATTATCATTATCGCTGCGCAGCTACTAGTACCATTACTATGAATGAAAGGATGAGGACAGAGTTGTAAAGTGAATGAAAACAAAGCTCAGCTTGTTGTCCACCCAACCATATACCAGACGGAAACAATAGATGTTGACCTCAGGATGTCCTTTTCGGCTCTTCTATTTTCATACGACAAATAGCTGCACATAGATGACACTTTTCGACATGTAGTTTTATCTTTGTAAAACACCGATTCTTAAAGAATATATGCTAATTGTAACAAATAGTAGATAATGAAAAATGCAAATAACGCCTGAAAGCGTAATATTGGTGTGATATTTGTTTAAATTTTAGATGGAAAAAACTGATGAATTGAACTGATATTATTGAAAATAAAGTGATCCCTATCTAGTGATTAATTCTTTTGGAGTAAAAATATTTGAAAACCAGACAGATATGAAGATATTCATGTTTTGTAAAATGAATTTGAAATCTAAGCTATCTCGAATGAAAATGATTTACAGCAGTTCGTGAAGACCGTATGCGTGGTGGTCGCAACAAATTTGGTTCATATTATAAACGTGATCGTGCACAACGAATGCAACGTATAGCGCTACGAGCTAACGGGACACACAATTTTTTCAATCAAAATACCACTGAACAACAAGTTTCTAGCAGGTTTGTTTTTATACTTTTCGAACTTGGTTGGTCACTATGAAGTTTTAGTATCTTGTTATCGTATAACTGAGCAAGTATTCTTACATTTCTCCTAAATTTTTACTTTCTTTTTAAAGTACACCAACTGGATTAGCAGCAACAGCGGCTGCAACTGCAGCAGCTGCTGTACACGCACAGTATTTCGACACAAGTGGAACTCAAAAGTTCAAAAACGATTATGATGCATTACTACAATCGCCGACGCTTTCAAGCAGTACGCAGCCTCCGACTAGTAAGCTTCTAAGTCTAGCAGATTCTTCAGTTACAATGGATAGAAAATCATTGCGCCACTCAAGCTTCAGAAAACACATAATGTCAACATACGTTTAAACAGTTTCGATTCCATAGATCCATGCTAAAAATGGCATATTAGTAGAAACACTTCCATTTTCACAGATCATCAATTTTTTTTTGTCCCTTTCTATGAAAGTCTAGTAAAAGTATCCTTACTTTAAAGTAATTCAGATGATCACTTTCGTTTTTTTTTCTTTTTTTCTTTGAGATAAGATTTTAATTTTTTGTTTCAGCAAAAGAAGTCATGAGAATTTCTAGATTTTATCACTTGCTTTAAAATTTGTTTAAGTTTAATTGCTTTGAATATTTATAGATTATGTGATGCCACGACCGAGTGCATATTTGCCAAATTGTGATAATTTGGCTGCTTTACTGGGTTCATCGATCGACGACCCGTTGTTACGCAGCTCATCTTTTCCCATCTATTCGTGCGTTAAACCAGAGCCTTTTGATGGTTATACTGAAGCCAGTGGGTGTTTCATTTCTAGCCTTTTGTAAATTTAATTTAAATAAAAATTTAATTATGATACATGCCTTAGAAAAGGTTTTATCTTCCAACCTGACTTTCGGAGTATGGTTATCCCGAATTTTTATGGTTTTTATATAAAAGGGAGTTTAAAATGAAAATTATCATTCAAGAAATTTTGCAATCTATATATTTTAGCTTGTTTTCATAAATGAACTTGTGTTTGAACTTCACTTTAAAAATTTTAGATTTTCCACAACCTTCGCTTTCTACTGATTATTCACCATTCTGTCCACCAACATCATCTTATACAGCAATGACAGCAATGGCACCGATAGCGGTAGCAGCAGGAACTCCTGCACCTGGTACCACAACAGATCGTTCCTCACCACTGCTTCCCATATGCCCGTTACCTACCGAAAAAACTATCGACAGTGTCTTTTATGCTCCAAAACAAACGGCCCTTTTGTGCAGCTGTACAGAATCTCTGATGGACCCGAATCTCCTTATACATTTATTAGGTAAAGGTGACAAAACTCGAGACGCATTCCAGTTCTGCAAATCAGTTATCGAAGAAAGTCTCAATTCGATTGTTACGTGGGCTAAAAGTGCACCGTATTTTGAGCAGTTACCGGTATGTTCAACGAAATTAAAATTAAAATTTGTCAAAAAACTAAAATAGTTACGTATCAAAACTCATTGAAAATCAAGAATTTAAAAAAATTTTTGTTTGCCAATTATTTTATACACTGATAATAAACCAATAATCATACAATTTTACTATAAGCTGAATCATAGCAAAACAACGATTAATTTTATAGAAGTATTGAAACTAGACATCGAGGCCAAATATTCATTTTATTTTAACATAATTATATGTTACGTTATGATTCTTTATTGTATTAATTTTACTACTTTCTAATACGCTTTAATTTACACGGTTACTGTGATTGAAAGGAATTTCCCATATCACATCATTATCGTAGTATGCGAAGAAGCATACACTACGAATTTGAATATTTTTTAATATAAAAACAAAAAAAAACAGATTACAGTACCTCAAAGCTATTCTGTTTTTGTTGTTATTTTCTATCGTAATCCTAGGAACAGAATTGGTTCGGGTGAAGGCAATGTTGTTTTTTAAAAAATTAGGATTATTTCTAAAAGGAATTTATTGACATGTTCCAAAGGATTCTTGCTTTTTGAATAGGACTCTTGAAATATCCATCAGAATTGTCTAGAAATATTTTTATGACGTTTCAAAAAACATTAGCTTCATTAGCTTCAAAAGTTCATCTCAAGGAATAAGAATTTTAATGATAGTAGTAGTTCACTTGTAAAAAAATTCAATCTAAGCATTGTTTTAAAACGCGTTGCATAACAATATAGTACAGAATTGGTCTTTAAAATAAACTATTTTTCAGGTCGATGATCAAATAACATTAATTTATACATCCTGGGCACCAATTCACGTTCTTGATTTCACATTTCATATTCTTCACAGTCATTTGCCTATTTCTATACAATTTGGCAATAGTCCGTTAGTTTTCATTTAATATTGCAAACATTAATATAAGCCTATTGCCAAACTTGAAAAGATTCGAAGAAGTTCTGCTCAAGCTTTCTGAATTTAAAAAATTCTAGTTTTATCCTAAGTTCCTCCCTGGAAATAGTAATCGAGGTGGAACCTTGGCGCTGTTATAGCAAATTTTTATAGATTACCTGTGTCAACCATTTGTTTAATGGGTTTTGATACATTGGCACCAAAGTTCAATGAATTATGCAGTAAATTACAGTCACTGAATTTCGATCGCTGTGATTATGCAGCATTTAAAGTGTTAACACTCTTCGAAGATCGAGGTTTACTTTCAACTTTTATTGGCTGTAAAACAGTCCAATTCATTTTCTATTAAACATCATTAAAGAGCGCCACTTGTACTTTCGGGTTGCATTTACGAAATACGGTAGAGACAAAGAATATCTCTACTGCTTAATAATATTCTAATTTTAGATACTAATTTTGAATGGATAGGTTATCATAACTGAGGTTAAGAACTAGCAGTAGTCATTCAGCTTAAGCCCACTATTCCAGATAACGAATAATTCAGTTCGCTAGCCATCAAATCACTCGAGATTGCTCGTATAAGTAGAAATAATAGCTCTCTTTTCTGTCTTGACTCCACATGAAGCAAGTTTTGCAACTTTTTTTGTGTGCATTCTTGTCATATTGTATAGAAACGTCTTACTACAACTACAGATTAAATACAGAGGTATGCAAATTACAGGTGAACGAAGTGCAGTAAACAACTGCGCTTTGACAGCTCAAGTTCACGCATCGGTACTTACAGCGTGGGCAGCATATCGTTCCGTTCCCAATGCTACCGATCATCCTTTATACGTTGTTTATGAGGAATTGAAGTAAGTTTATTCAGGAAAAATAAAAAATAGAATTTGAAGAAAGTTGAGACAGTCATCTTCTTCCTATCATCAATGATTAAGGAATTGTTTCCTGAATGAAATTCAGTGTAAAGATGGCATGATATAATTTTATAAATCGCTAAAATACTCTGAGGCTGGTTGCTGGACTTATATAGTCTTAAGAGAGTAGATTTTGCGATGGGCACCACATTCGCTTCTCAAGGTTGTGAAGGAGGATTATTTCTGTACTCTTGAAAATAAAGCACTCACTACAGTGCCTGAAGAAAGCGATATATAGTGCCAAAAGTACTTGAATTTTTGCGATATTCGAGCACTATTCTACTTGAGCATGATGAGCTGTATCGCCCTTTGACCTCTCTAATTAGTAGCGCGGTACCGATTATTTTTGACACATGCCAAAACCAGCAATTATCATCTTCTTACTTTGTGAGACCTACGATATTATGGAAGTGATTGAAAGCTTGAGAACTTTACTACCATCGTTATGCACTTTTCACATATTACTACAGGGGTTTAGAAAAGAGAAAAGAATTATCATCTATATATATTATTCTTATGACAAATTCTTGGAGCAGATCATATCTCATATCAATAAATAAATTATTATATCTCTGGACCTTATTTGAATCACTGAAAAATCATTCTTTGTAAGAAGCTCTTCCGAAATGCACTAAAAATAATTTCTGTAATGATATTACACATTACCGCTAAATGGTTTGATAAAAATCTCCTTCTCTTCTGTTCAGTCTTGTAACAAATTTATTTTCATTTCAAATTTGTAAAAGTTTCAGACTTCTTGCACGTCAGGCAGCTCATTTGCTCAGCAAATATTCGACAGTGGGAATGGAAGAAAATTTGCTGAAAGAAATGTTAACACGCAAAGAACATCATTTAGTATCTCAGCAACCGCCATCATCAATACTACCACCACCGCAACAATATGCATAATTAAAAACTGAATCAAATGTGCGCACTTGTCTTGTCCTCGCTTCCTCTAAATTGTGGTTTTTTTATCGAAAAGCTTGTCCCCCCGAAATTCCAGAAAACAAAAACCTTTAACCAAATTTCTTTCATTGCTGAGTGTTTCTTCTCCGTCATTTTTTCAATTCCTACAAATTTGCACAAATGTATCTGAAAGCATTTATCACCTCCTCGTCCATTTTATAAAGTGCGTACAACTGATCTCGTCAGGAAACTCGGGTGCGGCAATTCCGCAGTAAATTAGCAGGGAGCCGCCGTGGATGCAATCAACGAAAATCCACAACATATAGAAGAAACAGTAATTTAATCCAACTCATTCCAACTTATCATATTTCATTCAGTTTTGTTCCAGTTAAAATTTTTTTAGTCAGTCGTGTTCCATTCAGTTCTACTTCAAATCAATTCAAGTACGGGCCGTTAAAGGCTTTGTCCAGTAAATTCATTCAGGCTAGTATTTCGTTCAGCATTTTGTTAAATTTATTTCCTGTTTAAATATCTCATTCAGTATTGTTCCAGTTTGTGGGCTTTTTTGCTTTCATAGTATCAGTTTTGCCTGATATCAGTATTCCTACTCCATAAATTTTGTTCCTTATTTTTACGAGAATCCTAAAAAATGAGTCTTAACTTTTGCTTTAATTAATAGATTTTGGAAAAGCTATAAAAAACAGGAGAATACGCGGGAATAATGACCGTAATTTATCATCATTTACCTTTAAAAATATTAACATCTTTTTACCCCTTCTATTTTTTATATTTAGCATCTTTTGAATTACATGATTTTTTGTCGAAATCTTGTAGTTTGTAACATATCTTGTCCTTCCTGATTTCTGATCGCCTCATTCATGCACTACCAGTACCGTTCCTGCATACTGCATACATTCCAATACACCGCCACTTCCTTTACTGTTATTACTGTTGTTGTTTTCTTTTATACAAATACCACCTTCTGCGAATCCTTTTCGACTTTTTTTAGCTTTATTAATGACTCAAGGAAGACAAAGAAAAGATGTTGACTCAGACTTAGCAAGAGTCGAATTTTTAAATTATTATTTATAAATGTATGTAATTTTGGGTTTAAATGCCAACTATTACTTTGATTGCTATCCATTATTTACATTACTGGTATTTCGCTGCTGTTGTTATTTCTAGCTTTGCCTTTTTGCTTTCTGACCTTTTTAGTAACATTGAAAAAAATGAATCGTTGATGAAGTGAAGTACAACTAAATTTCGATTTTATTGACATTCGAGTAATTTTCTCCACACATGTTGATAATATATCACCTTTTAGTCGCAGTTTTTTTTTAGTGCACTAATAATACCAGGAAATTAACTTAGAATGCAAAAAGAGTTAAAATTTAAGTGAGGTATTTTATAAAAAGAGCTACCGTTTACTTATTTTTCCAAAGTAAGTGAGATACAAACATTTTTTAGCGGATGTCACTAATTTATGTGAAACTTTAGATCTAGTAGTTCTCAGTGTATTACAAAAAGTTAGCTTGTTTTACCTCTTTTGATACCGTTCGAACGCCAACGATTTTTGTAATTTCATTCATTCTTTTACGTCGCTAGCTTTTTTCCAAAAAATTTTTGTATAAGTTTCCATCAGTAAAGTGGACTAGTTAATTTTCTAAAACTCGATCGTATTACCTAAGTATTTTTGCAGTTTTGAGAACTCGTTGAGTGATTTTTTTTCCAAACAATATTCCACATTGCTTGAAAATGATTATTAAGAAAAATTAGCGTAAATGAATACTTGCCACAACTAAACCAAAGTTTAAGTTTTATTAAATACTTAATAATTAATTACTGCGATTTAACGCATAATAATTAAGAAAAAAATCATCTACACTCTTTTATTAAAGCTGTAGTATCAATGAACAAGTGTACGCTCCAAAAAATTTAGTCTTATTTGAGCAATAAAAGTTACTATCATAGTTTGTTTGTTTAGTAAGTTTTCCTTCAAAAATGCTATACATTACAATTTTTAACAACAGTTGTTATTATTGGTAAAGTAAATTTTATTTAAAAATTTGTTTCTGTTCTGAATTAGTCACTTCCTGAGCATCGTCAACACCGGTCGCATGCATCTTACACCCATCTATGTCTGATACCAGAGTTTTCTACGGCACGATCCGGAATGAGTGCAGCAAATCAAGGAATGCCATCCGAAATTGATCATTCAGTAAGGTATACAGGCATGGATTCCATATCGTTGAACTGTGAACAGTAAAATCAAAGTTTGAAATGTATGCCTAATATGAATATATGAACTATTAATGAGGAAATTAATAGGAAGTAAAAGATACCTCATTGAAATGCAATGTGTTATAATACCAATCAAATATTCTTGCTGACTGATGAAATTTGGTAACCAGTGGTAATCTCTAAGGAAATTAAAGACAACAGCTGGCATCCAACAGCAAACAAACACACCAACCATTGCAATTAACATACGATTCGTACGTAAACGTCGTTTTAGTACTTGTTGTCGGTAAAACGTTTGTTTCTTGAATAAAGTTGTCTAAAATTAAAAATAGTTATTAAAAATTGATAAACCGAGAAAAAATAGAACAAGACTGCAAATTACATGAAGGTTAAGTATGATAGCTTTGTTTAAAAACTAGAACTTTTTCATCTTTAAAATATTTTCTCAGCTTTCTTTCTACTTCTTACAAGACATTTAGTTGGTTATTGATGAAATTTTTTGTCTTAAACATGACAGCTTCTGAAATGTGATAAAATTTGTTTTTTATTTCACTCATCCAAAGATGTTTCTGCCCAGTCCTTCATTCCCAAAAGCGATCACTTATAGGAGGGATTGGCCGTAAATTTAACTGAAACGAAAACTAAACTAACTTTAGTAAGTTTTAATGAAATCATTGTATAGCAAAAGAAAATTATAGTAAGTGGTGCAACGAATTGAAAAATGAATACAACCGTTCCTGAAACTTTTAAAATTTTTGCTTGGTATTTGCAACTTTACTTTGAGCAGACGCTAAAATTATCAGCAGCATTGGCTTTTGAACCTGTTACAAGTAACCTGTTACAATTTTGAAAATTGCTAAATGAATTATTGTTCTTACTGCGATTGTGCTGTCATTGTCCTCTGTCTTTGGTGAACAAATAATTAGAAAGTTAGATTAAGAGAGCAGAGCAAACAGCTTAGTAAATTATTTGCAAGATGCTACTGAAGTTTCTACAGTTCAGGCATTGATAACTTATCCCTGATGGTATGAAATGTTGTGAAAAGTCTTGAAGTTTCCCCTGCCAATAATTGGCCAAAAGTATAATAATAAACCATAAATACTGCGGCCCATGTTATCAGAGCTCCAATCTTCGGTGCAAAATTGGCCACAGAAATTCTCGTATTTGATAAATCTTTGCTTAATGAACATAGGCAATGATATCGCTGTTGCCAAAGCAAAATCCAGACCAATTATTTTTATTGCTTGCCTTTTTTGAATTGGTCTACAAAATGTCATAATACTCGTAAATGCAAGAAATAAAACATTATGAAGTTTTTCAAGATACAAATTACTCTCTTGTCTTATAAGACATTCGAATTATCATATATCATTTCTCTTTCATCTTTTCATGTCATTTTTTTTTGTTAATTTTAAAACCTTTCTTTCATGCTTTTCTTCTTTTTGACTTTAAAAATTCTTGCTTCGAGCTTCATCTCTTCTATCAACATAACTCTTCCTTAAACCTTCGCTAGCTTGTCTTCATTTGAAAATATTAGTTTTTATCTGAAAGTATAGTGCGACCACTGGCATTTATTATAAAACTATTTCCTTAGCACCTTACAGACAGTTAGAAATGAAAACAGCCTATTTAGAAGAAAATAAGAAGTGGATGCAATTGTTAGAATTTCAAGAAGCAGGAACTTTCAAGTCTGTTAGATTTAATATAAGACCAAAACCCGACAAATCTTGCTAAAAAAACTTTTGAAAAAATCTTTGAAGCTTGTTTTCGTGGTGATGGCAAAATAGAGATTGTATCATTTATTCAGTCTCGGAGACTTTGCTTGCTAACAGTTAAAAAAAGGAAAATTAACAGATAGTTATAAGTGACCTTCTGAGCTTTGTTGAGTAACAATAATTTAGTGATTTTGAATCCTTCTTCTACTATTTGCTTTTGCAGTTTTTAAGAATTTTTAAGAACTCTCTCCAAAAAGAAGAAAAAATTATTTCATTTGACTCCAAAAAATATTTTTCTACCAAGTGGGAAATAAGAATTATACATATGTTAAAGCATTCAGATCTTAGTGCTCTCCATTTCATTTTTGATAAGAATTAATGTGTTATTCGTTTCGAAATTTATTCAAGATAACAATATACGAAAATTTCTTGAATTGCCAATTTGTGGTAATACAAAGGATTTCTTTTTTTCAGCAAATGAGAAGAAAGGATTGGAAAGAGAATGCAAAAATTCAATTTTGTTATTTTCTTTAATGAAATTAACTAGGTGGTGGTGGGGCAATTAAATTAGCAATGTCTAATTTGGAACAAACAAAAAGTTTAACTGCTTATTATCACTTATGATAAAGAATAGCTTTGGAGGAAAAACCAGAAATATCGAGGAAAAGACAGATAAAAGCTTTGAATTGTTACTGAAGAAGTTAAAGCAATAAAAAGATTTCATTTAAAAGCTATAAATAATATTTCTTGAGATAATGGAAGTAGAGCAGTAATATTGCTTTGAATCGAGAATAAATTAGTTAAGCTAGTGGTTATTTCTTTTCCGGTTCTCTCAGAGGAAAAAGCGACATACGTTGTTAAAAGAAGTGTATGAATTGATTTTGCAATTTAATTAAATTGAATTCAGCAAAAGAATTCGTGATAGGATCACCTCTATGGTTATAACTGAATGTTTTTATTTCCACTTTTAAAAAATTTAAGCACCAAACGAATAAAAGTGAAACATTTAATAAGGTATCATAATAAGTAGAAAATTGTTCGAGTTTCGTAAATATTCTCATTTTTATAAAGTTATTGCAAAATTGCTTACCTTTTTGTAGGAAAAATAATTAAAATATAACGATCAATAGCTATAGCAGTGAGAGTTAATGACGAAAAGCATAAACTTGCACCCTGAAAGCATCGGAATTTATCGTAGAAAAAATTTTGGAATGAACAGAGTTTCATATCAGTTATTGCTCTTTATTTAATAACTGAATTTAAATTTCGTCCAAGAATGATTTGAATTTCATGACAAAAATAGACAAGTATATAAATAATCGAATGGACGTAAAGAATCAAAACTGACTTGTATTAAAGGTATGAAGTAACAAAGCAATTCACCAAAAATCCATGTTTTGCTAAAGGCTGTAATTGGTGTTACTGTTCCGGAAACAATCGAAATGATTATATCTGTCACTGATAGGCTGATAATAAACAGATTACGAACTGACTGTAGTGATTTGTGTCGTATCACTGATAATATAACTAATGTATTACCAAGAACACCAAATCTGGAAACTGTTATATTATGAATTTATATGTTGAAAAAGTACACTGGAAGAAATCAAAAAATGAACTACTTCGTAAAACACTGTTGTTGTCAATAACTTTTGCATGATCTTGCAAATAAGAATGATCAGAGATTCGTTATTGGTATTTCCAATTTTTAAAAACCTATATTTTAACAGGAATGAATCGTTGGATATTTCAGCTATTACACTGTTAGTTCATTTTAATTCTCGACTTGAGCTTTGAAGCAAGGAAACATGGAACAATATGGAGATTGTTGAAAACTTTCCACAACTTTTGTAAGAATTGTATGACTTAAAAATAAAATTTAAACTTAAAATGCTCCACTGAATTTTTTTTTAAAAAAACTAACATGATAATAAGTCCGTAGATGGCAAAAAAAAAGATCATTGTTGGTAATAAAGACGTTAAGTCGAAATGATTCATCCAAAGATATTCGTTGATATCAACACACGGAGTTTGGGTAGCACTTTTATTGCTGATAATGAAACTACTATTAGCGGACATTCCGAACAAGAATTCCGCTTCTGTTGCTCATCCAGCAAAATGGTTTCTTTCACTGCTTACTATTGTATCCGACAGCTTAAAATTTACTTCTTCTTGAAATAAATTTCAGAATATCGCCTCGAAAAAAGGTTCGCGATATAATGTAAAGAATCTTATTTAGGGATGACAACTACAAATGGCAAGAGAGATTAGTAGTGGATATGCGAATTTGACTGGGACTTAAATCATAGAAGATTTCAGAACATTCTTTTGGAAGAGAGACGTGTCATCATCGATTGGTCACTTCATCGCGGAACAGCATAAGTAATTTCTGATTACTGTGGATAATTTCGGTCGAATGATGTATTTGTGATAGAATGTATTTATTTAACTTTACAACTGAACTGGCTAGCCTTAGCCACCGCTAGTGAATAGCGATAGAAAAAAAGAAAAAACGGATATCATGAATTTTTCCCTTGTCTACTTACGAGAGACTGTCGTTTAGATATGCGTGGAAAAACTTAAGACAAGAATTAAGCATCAGTTCCTAGGCGTTTAAAAAGTGAAAAAAAGTTTTAACACTTTTAATATTAATTAAGGGCTGAAGATTCCACTGCTCGAATATTGAAGCATAAATTGCAAGGACTTCTAGGAGACTTTCTGAATCTTTTTTCTAATCGGAGAAAACGTTTTTCTCCATTCAGTAACCTAAACTACTGGGAATTTCTCATGTACAAAATATAATCCATAGATTCTAACCGTTATAATCATTGAATATTTGACGAATTAGGTATTATCGCATCAACTATCAGTTCTGCAAATAAAAAAATCATTTAGACTGCACAAAAAGCAGTTTGAATGAATTTTCACTTCGGTAAATAGATGTATGAATCGATACACATTCTAAAAGCAGTAGTATAGGCTTGCGAAGGAAAAAAGATGAAGAGATAGCGAAGTTGGTTGGTTTTGCGATTTCAGTACAAAACGAAAATAAACTTTGATTGTTGTATGTGATGCGAACTATGTATTAAAAATCCTAAAGCATTGGGACAACTTTTGCAAAGACTGAATTTATTTGCAAAATCCTTCTCGGATAATAGTATCTCCTCTTCAACAGTGCAGTATTGTCATATATCTGTTGCAACCTTGAAATAACTGATGAACAATCATAAGCATTAATTGAAGTATAAGTAGTGATTGCAACGATAAAAAATATATTTTAATAAAAGTCAATAATACATCCTTTGTTTTAGAATGATCTTCTACTTATTTACCTGGCCAGTGTAACACCTACAAATGAATTCTTATTAACTCTTTACATAATTCTAAAGTTGTTTTTTCGAAACTAAATTATTTAACTACAACATTTGTTGTTATAAATTACACTTGAAATGACTGCTATTAATATTGCAGTTTTTCACTCTTATGAGAACCTCAAACAAACCTCAATATACTAATTCTTCAAATTTTAATATAACTCCAAATTCGCCAGCAGCAAATTGAAACCATTTGAGAAGGCAAGATTGTTTTAGACTTCATCACCCACTCAATTTTTTTCTTTTTACAAATACAATAGTTAGTAAACGGAGAATCCGGATATCCCTCTCAGAAAATGGGAACAGACTAACAGGCATTTATTTAAAAGTTGAAAGCAAGAAATGAGAACAGAATACAGATGAATTAAACAGAGACTTGCGATGACGTGGAAATTCGGGAAATCAAAAATTTATCTTGAAATCATTAGCTATTTTACTTACCATCTTTTGAATGTTTTTCATCTTCCACTAATTCAGTAAAGGCTTCATTAGCTGAAAACATTTGACAACAGGAATTATATGTAAAATGAGCAAAGAATATTTTAAGCAAAAAACTGATTTTATTTTACTTTAAATTTCATACTGCTTTAAATGTAACAGCCAATCGAACAATCAGCAAACATGAAAGATGAAAAAACATAAAAAATAGATAATTGTTAAACAGAGAAAAAATGAGGAAGAATTGAATTTAGTAAAATTCCTATATTGAAAGGAAGAGAAGTTCTACTTTGATTATGTTAACAGTTTATCTTTGTTTACTTTGTTGTTCTCAGGTGATTACCGAAGTCACACCTAGCAGTTTCAACAAAAGGCGCAGTGCATACCCAAAGATGGCTGATTTTTCTTCCTATTCCTCAAATTTCATAGGAAAAATAATTTTACAATTTAAATTTCTATTGCAACCCCAATATTTCTAATACCCTAATTTTCCCAAATGATGGTGCTGCATCGTTTTCCAATCTGTTTTTTAAATTTATTTTACTTGTCTCACATATTTTTCCAAAACCTTATTAAGATTATTGAAATATCCTTTAGAAATAGCTCTATGGCACATAAATGCAACACTGCCATATTGGAATTGAAGTTTTCGAGATTTAGATGTTTTAAATTTTGTCAATTTTCTTACATTTTCAAAAAGTAATAAAGCAGCAATTGTCATCGTCGTTAATTTTTTGTTTAAAAATAGTATTGATTATTACTACTGTCTGTGCGCTAATAATTACAGCTACCGAAAAAAAATTACTGCCGTGGTTGATCAAGATTGAAAGACTGTTTTAAAATATAAGATTCCTTTAGAAAACAGGAATGACAACTTTAAGAAATACTTTTGACATAATTAGGAAGCGGAAATCCAAAAATCCTATTTCAGTATTCAGTTTGAAGACGAAGAAACTTATCACTACTGTTATCACCACCACAGTTTAAACATGAAATAAGCTACAATCAATAGAAAAGTACTAGGAATGAGTTTTGGAAATAAATCTAGTAAATTCTAAAAGGAACGAGAGAGCGCCTTCAATGAGGCGTAAATTTAACAAATTCTAAAAGCAATGCAGAGAACGCTTTCATTTCTAGCCCGTTTTTAATAGCCGTAGAGTAATTAATAAACTTACATTTTTTTTTACAAAATACATTACAAAAAAGTTTTAAAATTACAATTTTCACAATGTTAAATTTACAATGTTTTGCAGTCATAGCTAACTTATGGGTCTAAAAAGCTTAGAATTATTTCTCTGTTAAGGTTGTGATCATGACATAAATCATTACCTATGGACATCTGTTGTGACAGCTCTGAAGACTCTTCCGTGGCGTCATCTCAATTGAAAATAAATTAATGAGTTCTTTGTTAGATTCTTATACTGCAATAAGCGGTGATGACCTCGTAGTTTACCTAAAGTCCGATATATCTTGCTTTGAAAATTTCCTCGAAATGTCAACTAAAGATTTGAAAAATCGAAATATGAGTTTTAGTCTTAATTTTTAGTTTTATGAGATCGAAATATGAATGATCTGACATAAAGCGCAATTCATTGTGCTATATCCGAAGCGCAAATAAAGGAATAAATAGGACAAGAGAAGATGTCCTGCTCATTTTCGAGTGTATTTGCAGAAATTAATGAGAGGATTAGTTAAAACATATGAAAAAATCCAAGAAAAAAAAAAATCATTTTTATTATTTGAGTTTCACTTCATCTTGCGCGCTTCGCTTATTGCTTTTTGAAAGTGTCAAAAGCCCGATTTTCAATCATTTGTTAAAGATTATATGCTTGATTAGCATTCATGTGAATTCCTATTTGAAAAGCTTTAAAAAGAAAGAATTGGCTTCAGAAACAGCAAACTCCAAAGTAAAATTGCAAAGATAGAGCAATGTGCTACCTTTGAGATATTTTGTTTCTCGGTCATTTCCTCCAGATGTGAAGCCGTTCTTTCTATCTTTTTAACAAAAGAGGTGGATTAATTCAAATCTTGCTAACTTGTGCGAGTGGAAAGGAAATAAGCCAATAAACTGGTAGAAAATGGAAAGAAGATGAATTGAGCCTGATTTTGCTTTTTAAAGTGAGACAGATTATCACTTACAGAGTCGTGAAAAAAACAGATGTACGACCATAAAAGATAAATGGTATTGTTATATATAGGACAAATGCACCCAATGATTGTTCTCACTTTAAAATTCCTGTAAATTTGTTCGTATTATTTTTGCTAATCTTTTGGGAAGAAAAGAAATAAAATTCCATGGTCTTTCATCTCAAAATTTGAAAAAAAAAATCTATGGAATTATGGTCTAACCTAAAAGTGCAGTATTTATGGATAGTTAGTAATGTTGGATCCTAATTTTGCTTTAATGAAATTAAAATAAAATGATACTAGTGGAAATGGTAAGAAAAATAATGTGATAGTTTGCTGAATTAGATTTGCTATTAAAGAAAATGGCATTAGGGAAGTAACAAACATTTAATAAATAAGGAAACATGTCAGAGTATGACTTTTGACATGATTAATCTGTATCATTCATCACTTTATATTTGTGATAACTAATTTATTCATTTCCAGTTCGATCATTCATTTCTATCACCTGTGCACTACAACATTTGGAGTTTTGAGATGATGATATTATTGTGAAATCAGTAAAAATATGCAATGCAAACTGGTCCTCTTCTCGTCATTTTATTGTTTTATTATAACTAGCTTAATTAATATATTGTATATTAAATTTGATTAATCATCTACTCACCAGCTTTATGTCTTTCTCAAAACTTTCTTTCTCCCAGAACAACTTTTCCACAAAAGATGCGTAGTTTTTCTACAACAATGATTTTCAAGTAGTTTCATCTTTTTTTTTTTTACTTCATTTAAAAAATGAAATTCGAATTAGTGATAGATGAATAAGTCTAGATATCCTTATACGATTCTAATATAACCAAAAAACTTCCATGTAATTTTTTTTTTATGTTGTTTTTTCTGAATTGAAAACTAAGAATTACTGTTTAACTTCATTATCTTATAACTTACTGTTACAACTCATTTCTTTTCGTAATGAAAAAAGACACCAAACTACTTTATTTCTTATTTGGAAGGACTCAAACAATATGCTTCATTCAGTTTGTCTTCAGCAAATTGATATGTTCTCAGGTTAGATCGTTTGCTGCTACAGAACAGTTAACAGTAAAAAGAGGATGATGCCTTATTGTTTGAAATACGAACAAA